TTTAGCTCATCAAAATAAATCCAATAAAACAGACCAAAATAGAATAGTAATTTGAATCAACTTTAGTGATTTGGAGGCCTATTTTAGGGAAATTTTGCAAAAAAAAGTTTTTAGGTGAAAAACATGTTTTACTCGCGAAAATGTCAAAAATAGCATAATTATCGATCTAATTTGATAATTTTTGAACCTTTTTGAACAAAATGTTATACTAAATAGGTTCAAGAATAACTGAAACGGCAACAACATTATTATTGTCGATCTAATTTGATAAGTTTTAATATGTTTTAGCGAAAAAATTCAGTTTATTAGCTAAAAAATGTATTTAACTGCTTAAAAAAGCAAAAGTAGCACGATTTTTATCAATTTTTGGACCCGTTTGAACAAAATTTTGATAAAAAAATTGCATTTCTGGCTAAAGAACATTCTTAAACGCTTGAGAAGATGAAATATAACATCATTTTCGATTTAATTTTGTGATTTTTCATCTTGTCTCAATGAAATCTTGAGGTATCTTAAAAACATGCTAAAACGTTCAAAAAAGCAAAAATAGTATGATTTTTGACTGAATTTTTTTCAATAAAAAACAACAAAATAAGTGTAACATGAATATTAAAAAGATTTTGCTCAAAAAAAGTAAGTTGTATCAAAACGCAAGAGACCTCTTTTTTGTAAAACACTATGGAATTTAGAATTTTTGTCTTAGAAAGTCACAAGAAACTTCAGCCAAAATAATTTTTCATCTCAAACTCCCCACAGCTTAAGACGCCCCTGATTAAAAATTTTGACATAAAGGTAATCAACTGTACCAAATTTTATAATTTTATTAAAATAGTTTCTGAAATATTGGACAAAATTCATTAAAACATGCACTACTTTCAGAGAGTGTAGCTCCGTTACATAGTATTTTTGAATACATATTCATAAGAAACTTGAATCTTAAAATTGAATATTCTATCACCTGTTTAAATTTGTAACAATAAAAATGGAACACTCTGTATAAAAAATCTTTTTGAACAACTTTTATTTTACACACTACATGTACCTACATACATACAGGGTGAATATAAAGTATGAAACCAAGCGGTTTTATTTTTAATCATTTGCCTCCAAAAAGTAATAATTAATATAAATTAAAGTAATATAAAAAATATGATCGTATTTTCAGATCAAAATTTTGTTTTGTTTTTGAGTTATGCGATTTTTTTTGTCAAAA